CGGTGCTGCTGCGGCTGCTCGCGAGGCGAGGGCGATCGCGATTGGGGGGCCGGGTGGCCTGGACGTACCGCGCCAACGCGGCGTATCGCCGCTGCGGGGAAAGGGAAGGGGAGGGGGAGGCGGAAGCGGAAGGAGGGGGGGAGGGGATGGCATCGCGGCGGGGATCCACCGTCACCGAGGAGGTTAAGGAGGAGTCGCCGGAGATCTCCACCCCCTGCCGGTCCACCCTTAGGCTCATCGCAAGCGCACCCCAACGCCACAAGAAAAGGAGACGAAGGGAGAAGAATACCACGAAGACGACGAAGAAAACCGAAGACCGGTCTATTGGTATTTCCTCTCAAGATCCACAAAGTCTAGCTGGATGAACAAACACTCTACAAAAGCACGGGACGTCGACCAGAGCGCATGTCAGAAAACGCGCCCGTGATATCACTAGTATGACTAGGCGCATAAAACATAAAGGAGTAAAAGGGAAAAAGATTCCGCGCATCATCATCATCATCAAAAGGAATTGTCGAGAGGCCCAACCCACGAAGAGGGATCCAACCAAACCCTTGCTCCATCGTCCGAACGGAGTTTATGCCACGATAGAGTTACACGACCATTATGGGATGTTACAATTTACCCCCACGATTACCCTCCCCTCTAGTATATATATATATATATGCATAGATGGATAGATAGATAGGTATACACACATATATATAGTATAAATACTAGTTTATAGCAATCACCTCCGCGTTTTCTACCCCTCATCCCCATCGCAGGACTCCCACACGGGCTCATCCAGGCCCCCCTCTTCCTCCGCGTCCCCTTCTTCGCCCGCACCGGTGGGCTGGAGGAGGGAGATGGGGTCGGGGTGATCGAGATCGGGCACCCTCGCGGCGGCCTCCGGCCCCCCCATCTCCTCCACGAGGATCCGAATCGCGTCATCCACCTCCGCGATCGCCTTCGGGTCGCCGTCGGAGACGACGAGCATCACCCGGGCGCGCCGGAGCAGCCGCGCGGCGTCCTCGAACCGCCCCCGCATCCGGGCCCCCTCCCCGAGCAAAAACCACACATACGGGTTGTTATCCCCGAGCTGGAGGAGTTCGAGGAGGAAGTCGAAGGCCGCCGACGGGCTCACCTGCAGGAGCAGCCGCGCGAGTTCGATTTTCGACTCGTAAGGGGGCTGATGCGCCTCGCTGAGGGTGTGGGTGAGGTCGACCGCGCGATGGAGCGCCGCCCGCGCGGCGACGACGTCGCCCTGGCTGAGCAGCAGCGAGCCGTGCAGCTGATGGGGCTCGACGCCGCGGGGGTTGAAGGCCAACGCGCGCCGCACCATCTCCCCCGCCATCGCCTCCGCGTCGTCGTGAAAGCAAAGATCCGTGAGGTACAGCTCCGCGATCGCGCACGAGATCGTGCCCAGGGTCTCGCGAAGGGCCGCCTTCGCTTTGGGTTTCCGACAACGACCCAACTCCTCGCTGGCGATCTCGTGCGCCTGTTGATACCACCCCAGCGCCTCCTCCGCCTCGGTGAGCTGGGCGAGGTTGAGGTACTTCACGTAGCCGACGCGCGGGTTGAGCGCGATGGCGTGGCGGAGCATCTGCTTCGCGCGCTCGAGATCCTGCGCGTGATGAATCAGGATCTCCGCGTACGCCTCGAGTACCTCGTCGTTGTTCGGCGACTGCGCCAAGGCGATTTCGTAAAACTCGCAGGCGGCTCTAATATTCCCCACATCCACCGCGTTCTGCGCCAAGTTGAGAAGTGTTGGAGTGTCCATTTGCTCCACAGATCGCTACTGCAAGGGGGGGGGGCGAAAAAGAAAAAAGGGTACAAAGAAGGAAGTCCTATTCAACGTATACTCGTAATCATAATAGAATCATAATACATTGGTATTTAGAAGAAAAAATCATACAAGGGAATACACATGAAATGGAAACCCTTATCCGCACCTTCGCACATTGGAAAAGGAGAGTCTACCGCACAAGGGCAGCGCAAACATCCTTTCCATCGTCCCCATACCCCTAAAGCAGTGCTCGTGAGACCCCCACCTTGGCCACATGGGATCTGAAGGGAAAGGCGAATGCAATTGTATTTTACATGAACCTGGTCGCCATCATTTCCATTTTTTCTTTTCTAAAAACGGTACATCACTCTGTTCCCTCACGTGAAAGCAAGCCCCCTGAAGAAAAATTATATATATATATATATACCTCAAACCAAAGATGAAAAGCTACGAGAGGGCAATCGACTTTTACATCACACCAAATCAGAGCTCTTCCATCCCCTTAGAATCGAATTCATTTAAATAACTTGAGAGGACTAAACGATCAAAGAGATGTTGAACCTCCTCTGCGTACGCGACCACCCCGTCCTCCTCGCCGCCATGGCGGGCGCACTCCAGCAATATAATTTGCACATCCCGACCCGTCAGTGGGATGGGGGCATCTAAGATGGCGTTGCAGTAATCCCCCCACGCCAACACCCCCGAGCGTTCCTGATCGAGGGTGGCAAAATAATGCCCAAACTCCTGCTCGATCTCCTCGCGGCGCATCCCATGCACCTCCATCTGGTTGGGATCGACCCGGTCAAACCCTCGGTCGACCTCCGGCAGCCTCGCAAGCAGGCCGGCGCAGTGCGCGACGAAGGCCTCGGACGCCACCCGCCCCTCCCGCTGCGCCACCGCCGTGGCAGGGCCGGTGAGCAGGAAAAGAGACGCGACC